AAAAAAAAAAAAAAAAAAAAAAAAAAAAAAAAAAAAAGAAAGGAAAATACGCACGTCCACATTTTTTATATGCTTTAAACCAAAAATTAAAAAATAAAATAAAATAAAATAAAACAAAAAAAAATAAAAAAATAAAAAAAATAAAATACGTTGGTCGATATCTTGATGTAATACTTATATGATTTCCACTAAAATACAAGATTTTGGTCAATTTTGCATTCCACATTATATTATAATTCATGAATTGCTAAATTTAGATTAAGGACCGAATAAATGATGACTACATTATAATAACACTAATAATTTTTCCACACAACTCATTCAGTTTTTTCATAAAACATAAGCCGTTAATAATCCAGAAAAGGCAGTTGGTTGTATTATTATTAGCAGTATAAAGCAATCTCACTAGCTCATTTCCATAGGATTAATTGAAACTCTCACTCAATATCATCATCAAGTCCTTTCAAAAGAAACATTAGATTTTCACATTTTGTTTTACCTCAAAAAAATGAAAAATTAATATATTGTTTGATTCGATAATGTGCAGAAGAGGCAAAGAGAGAGAGACAAAGTAAGTAACAAAGAGAGGAATTAAGACAAAAATGGCGGACAGCAGGAGCATTAGCTTGGAGGATATCAAGAAAGAAAATGTTGATCTTGTAAGAATTTATTTCTCTAGACTGATCTCTCTTTTCTTAAAAAAAAAATAAAATTATTTTCAATATATTGTTTTTTGTTGTTTTGAAAAATAATGAAATGAAATGGGATTGTAAAAGATCTTAGAAATAATGGAAGCAATTATTTTCTCCAATGGGTCGATTTCATTTCCTTGAGTTGTCTGGGGTCTTGGATTTTGGCTTCAGCTAGGCGTTTAGGCAGTTTCGGAGCAGATTCCTGCGGTTCAATCTCGGGAGATGAATGTCTGATTCTGCTGGTGCTTTGTGCTGCGATTGGTCATCTGCTGTGGGAAGGGCTCTGTTTTATTTTGCATTCGTTCTGTTTCTTCTGTTTTTAGGTGTGTGTCTGTTTGTTTAGTTTGTTTTGTTTGGTCTTGTGTTTTTGTAGTATGTGTTTTTGATTTGGGCTTCGGTCTCTGTTTTCACCCGAGTGAGTGAGTGCGGTATTATCCTTTTGGAATCGATTGGCATTATCATTTTGGGATCCTTTAGTAGTTTTTGTTTATAGTGTTGTGTTTGTGTTTTCTAGCGTTGCTAGGTCCCGTACTAAGCGATCTTTATGTCTGCCTCCCAGTCTTATTTAGCCTTTGGCTGATTTCTTTTCGCACTTTGTGCATTTTATAATATCTCTATCGTACTTTAAGAAAAAGAAGGAGAAGCAATAACTATTTGAATAGACGAGGATTATTGTAATCTGAATTCGTTTCTTTTATATACTGTTGGAAATTTTTAGTTATTTTCATACACATTTGGTAGTCTTTCTTTTAATTTTATACGGTATTATTTATTTATTTATAGTTTGTTGAAAATATAAATACACATAAAAAGAAATGTTTTGGAAAATACAGGAGAACATACCAGTGGAAGAAGTATTTATGACCCTACAATGTTCAAAGGAGGGACTAACCACATCTGAAGCTGAAAGGAGGCTGCAAGTTTTTGGCCAAAACAAGCTTGAAGAGAAAAAGGCAGCCACATCTAATCTAATTCCAATTAATTAAAACCTCTTTTACATATGTTTATGATCAATTTATTTAATTGTTACTGAAAAAATACACATTATATTAACTAGTTTAATTTTTTGGTGAAAAAAAACAAACAAACTTGACTACAGGAAAGCAAGCTCCTAAAGTTTTTGGGTTTCATGTGGAACCCACTGTCATGGGTCATGGAAATAGCTGCAATCATGGCCATTGTTTTGGCCAATGGACAGGTGATGATGATGATGATGATGATGTTGACGATACTCTACGGAAGAGTTTCATACATGATTTTAGTAGAGAAATGGTATACGTGCATAATATTGTACATATGTGTGTGTTGATCAGGGGAAACCTCCAGATTGGCAAGACTTTGTTGGCATAATGGCATTGCTCATCATCAACTCTACAATCAGTTTCATTGAAGAGAACAATGCTGGCAATGCCGCTGCCGCACTTATGGCCGGGCTCGCCCCCAAGACTAAGGTGCTGCGAGATGGGAGGTGGAGCGAGCAGGAAGCAGCGATCCTAGTGCCCGGGGACATAGTGAGCATCAAGTTAGGTGACATAATCCCGGCAGACGCTCGACTCCTGGATGGTGACCCACTCAAGATAGACCAGTCGGCCCTGACTGGGGAGTCCCTCCCCGTGACCAAGCACCCGGGGAGCGGCGTCTACTCCGGCTCCACTTGCAAGCAGGGAGAGATCGAGGCCGTGGTTATTGCCACCGGGATCAACACCTTTTTCGGTAAGGCGGCCCACCTAGTAGACAGCACCCAGAACGTGGGCCACTTCCAAATGGTGCTCACGGCCATCGGCAACTTCTGCATCTGCTCCATTGCGCTCGGGATTGTGATAGAATTGGTGGTGATGTACCCGATACAGAAAAGAAGATACAGAGATGGGATAGATAATCTTCTGGTGCTGTTGATCGGTGGGATCCCTATCGCCATGCCCACTGTGCTGTCGGTCACCATGGCGATCGGGTCCCACAGGCTGTCGCAGCAAGGGGCCATTACCAAGAGGATGACTGCCATCGAGGAGATGGCCGGGATGGATGTGCTCTGTAGTGACAAGACTGGGACCCTTACACTCAACAAGCTCACTGTCGACAAATCCTTGATCGAGGTCTTTGTAAGAGATTTGGACAAGGAGCAAGTCATATTGGTCGGGGCTAGAGCTTCCAGGGTGGAAAATCAGGACGCTATAGACGCTTGCATTGTTAATATGCTACCTGATCCCCGTGAGGTATTTCTATAATTATAATTATTTATTACTATGCCTTTGTTCATTTTTTTGAGAAAAAAAATTAATAATAATAATCCTTTTTTTTCTTTTTCAACAGGCAAGAGCAGGGATTACTGAGGTGCATTTCCTTCCATTTAACCCTGTCGAAAAGCGTACCGCCATTACTTACATAGACGCCAATGGTAATTGGCACCGAGCTAGCAAAGGTGCACCCGAACAGGTAAATCAGGCGTATATATGTATATCCTCTACCAATATAATGGGAAGTCCTATTTTTTACTCTTTTTCATGCTAAACAGAACAGACTAATCATCAGCTTTATTTTATCTATCACGTTTAGATCGTCGAGCTGTGTGGCCTTAGAGAGGATGTGAAGAGAAAAGTCCACTCCATCATTGACAAGTTTGCTGAGCGCGGCCTTCGATCTCTTGCTGTCGCTCAGCAGGTGAATCTTGTATCCATATTTCTATTTTTAGTAACACTATGGTCCATGAGGCTGCTGCTGCTGCTTTTGTAATTAAGTAATTAATTAAAACTCACAACATTGGTCAATCAAAATATATCTCCATAGGATGTACCTGAGAAGAGCAAGGAGAGCGCAGGGAGTCCGTGGGTCTTTGTGGGCCTGCTTCCACTCTTCGATCCACCAAGGCACGACAGTGGGGAGACGATAAAACGAGCCTTGAACCTTGGTGTGAACGTGAAGATGATCACGGGCGATCAGCTAGCAATTGCCAAGGAGACGGGCCGTAGGCTTGGGATGGGCACAAACATGTACCCGTCATCGTCTCTTCTCGGACAACACAAAGACGAGAGCATTGCCCACCTCCCTGTCGAGGAGCTCATCGAGAAAGCTGATGGCTTTGCCGGCGTCTTTCCTGGTGAGCTTATGTTGAATATGTAAAATTAAAAGTGACCTTCTTTTTTCAATATAGTTTATTAGTAGATGATTTGTAATTGTGCGATTGTTGGGTAGAGCACAAGTACGAGATCGTGAAGAAGTTACAAGAGAGGAATCACATATGTGGGATGACAGGAGATGGAGTGAATGACGCCCCTGCGCTGAAAAAGGCAGACATCGGCATCGCGGTGGCAGATGCAACCGACGCAGCCCGTAATGCTTCCGACATTGTTCTCACAGAGCCCGGCCTCAGTGTTATCGTGAGCGCTGTGCTCACTTCGCGGGCAATCTTCCAGCGCATGAAGAACTACACCATCTATGCTGTGTCCATCACAATCCGTATTGTGCTGGGTTTCATGCTTCTCGCCCTCATCTGGAAATTCGACTTCTCCCCATTCATGGTCCTCATCATCGCCATACTCAACGACGGCACAATCATGACCATATCGAAGGACAAGGTCCGTCCGTCCCCAATGCCCGATTCCTGGAAGCTCAAGGAGATCTTCGCAACTGGGGTCGTCTTTGGGGCCTACCTCGCCATCATGACAGTCGTCTTTTTTTGGGCAGCCCACCAGTCCAATTTTTTTACTGTCAGTCACTCACTCACTTACTTTATGCTTCATTAGCTTCATCCCAAATCCTTCATTACTTTCATAATGTATATAAATATATTTACTTGCTGTTTCAGGACAAATTTGGGGTGCACCCGATCAGGGACAACTACAGAGAGCTCAACTCGGCAGTCTATCTCCAAGTCAGCATAGTCAGCCAGGCTCTAATCTTCGTCACCCGCTCCAGGAGTTGGTCTTACGTTGAGCGCCCTGGACTTCTCCTTGTCTTCGCCTTCTTTGTGGCACAGTTGGTCTGTTCAACTTTAACAATTAATCCACAAACTTGTTTTACGATCAAAGCACATTAACACTTATATATACATATATGTTTGCATCCATAGGTTGCCACTCTAATAGCTGTGTATGCAAACTGGGGATTCGCAAGGATTCACGGCTTGGGCTGGGGATGGGCCGGTGTCATATGGCTCTACAGCATCATCTTTTACGTCCCCCTCGACATCTTCAAGTTCATCGTACGCTATGCATTGAGTGGCAAAGCCTGGAAAAATATGATCGACAATAGGGTAAATCATTCATCAATAATTATCATTTTTCTTACGGCTAAGGCTAGTTCGTGCTTTTGACTACTGTCGTCTATGCAAAACAAATATTGAAATTGTACGTTCTCAACTTTATTGTTGTTTTGGGTAGACGGCATTTACGTCTAAGAAGGATTACGGGAGAGGAGAAAGGGAAGCTCAGTGGGCCATGGCTGAAAGAACTCTTCACGGCCTTCAGATCCCACAGAGTTCGGAGCTCTTTAGCGACAAAAACAACTACAGAGAGTTGTCTGAAATAGCTGAGCAGGCCATGAAACGTGCTGAAGTTGCAAGGTAAATGAAGCTCAACAAAAGTTATATTTATGTATAATTTTATAAGTACGTTTTCCTGTATTAAAACCGAAAAAAAAAAAAAAATGTCAGGATGAGGGAGATTCACACTCTGAAGGGGCACGTTGAAGCAGTTGTGAAGCTTAAGGGCCTAGATGTTGAGACCATTAACCAAAACTACACAGTTTGAGGACATGAACATTTATGGAAATAAGAGACAAAAGTGCGATTTTGCAATAAGAAATAGAAATATAGACAGTGATTTGATAATTCTTATAGGCTGTAACTTCTTGTTTTGGCTTTTTTCTTTTTGAGGGTTGTAACAATAGTTGTCTTTTTTTTTTTCTTTTTTTTTTTGGTGTCGAAAGTCTAAATAATAGGGCATCGTCATCCAAGGGTTGGACGTCAACCCGTTGTGATAGAATTTTTTCTTCAAACTCTTCTTGCTGCTATTATTCTTATATGATTGATCTTATATGATTAAAATTTTGATTTGTTAAGTATTGTACACAAAAATTCATATAGACTGAAAAGTCGGCCAATTGATCGAGCAAAATGGATATCAAAGAAAGTCTTTTCCTTTTAGGTCTATAATCCTAAGAAGGAAGCGGTACAAGAAACAATATGAAAATCTGCATGTGAATTTCAAAAAAATAGCTTAAAAATATTAGAAGCAGAACGATAAAACGAATAAAGACGAGTCACGTAAGTGTCGCTCTCCTTAAGACGACATAGCCTCGTATATTACCCACAGTTCACTGTAAAACCCCGCATACTACTAGACTTATAGAAATTAGAGTAAAAATTTTCTTTTTAATTTTTGAAAACTCTAACTTTATTTTTCGAAAACACTTTATTATGTATCTCGTTGGATGCTACTTAACTTAC